GCCACCTTGCCTGAGTCTTGCACCACAATTAGATGTGATTTTGTCCAGTTAGACCCATACACTTGAGAATTTTAAACATATTCTCAGCTATGATTTTATGTTAACCATAAGTATGTACACATCAAATGACCAACACAACCTGTGGTGTGGGTTCACGTATTTATCATGAGGGGGGGGGGATTGAGCAACCACCCAAGTCAAATGATGCATTGCACAAGTCATGTTCAGGCTCGTTGAATACATATGGATTGTTCAACAATCTTCCACTTGGCCCAAATACTTCACCAGTTAATCCAGGGAGTATACTTGGACCAATTTTGGAAAGCCAGAAGGCCCAACAACTGAATCTTCACTGAACAAGGGTTATCCCGAGCTGCAAAGTGCCTGCTTGCGGCTATCAATCAATCAAAATCAGTCTTTGAAGATTCATGGCACGTAGTTGAGATCCAGATTCTGTTAAGTTGATGATAAGGCCGGACCGCCGGTACCACAAACCCAAGAGCTGCGGGCCGCTGGAGGCTTACAAGGCGTGTTGGGCTATTGTTGAATGAGACTGGTGGGCAGTGCGTAGGAAGAGTAAAGCAACGTTCATGGGTCATGTGACTGATATTATTGCTCGCTCGGACAAGAGAACTAAACGCCGTAACAGTGATCCATGAATACATGACAAGCAGTTTAGTAAAAAGTTGAGGGTCTTGTGGCAAGGAATTTGCTTCGGTACTTGACGACGCGGTGGGGCAATGGGAATCGAAGCTTGGGAACAAGCAGTTGCTTGATGTTGGGACGACGGACATCAGAAGCCTTCTCGATTTCAGCAATTCGAAGAATCTATGATGAAATCAATTTCAAAGGTTTAACAAGTTGAAGCGGTTGGTAGATGAATTGGTAAACTTTGCAGGCGAGTGAGATCGCGAAGGTGACTGACCTGAATGGAGCGGAATCGAGCACGGTGGCGGGAAGCCATGTCTTGGTAGCAGGCCTGGGCAGCATCAACTCGGGATAGCTCTCGGAATTCCTTGTACATGTTGTGAGTACCAGAGCGGGAGTCGTATCGGAGCCAGATGCCAAAGTTTTTGACTTTGAGAGGTTTCTTTTCGTGAATCTAAGTACAGTAGCGTCAAGCGAAGTAAGATCAATACAGTGACATCATTTGTTGAGCAGGTTGTCAGCGAGGTATTGAGTGGGAAAACATACCACGTTCAATCCAACAATCTCCCCGGAAGCCTTCTTGGCGTTTCGAAGTTGACGGAGATAGTACCAGAATCGAGATTTTGCGACCACGTGGCCTGGTATGTTTGTCCTCATCCGGTAGAGCTTGGTTTGGCATCCTTTTCGGACGGGAGCTTGCGTCCGACGACTTGATATTCTTGGAATCGACCCATTCTTGCAGGTCGAACGATACGTTGGTGGTGACAAGCGGACCGACTGCCGGGAGGGAATGCTGCAGGTATTTTCGAGGGCCGGCCGGTGTGCTGCGCCGGAGTGGCTCGAGTAAACCCCTTGTTCCCTGGCGCAGTGTGGGCACACTAGCATGTCCGCAGCGATATTTGTCACTATCACGATGTGGTAGCCATTCCGCAGCAGCAGTGAAGGCTGGCTGGGCCTCCGACACGATCACACCCTGGCGGCAGGTGACCGATAACCTTCAGCAAACCATCGTCGGACTTCGCAAGAATGGGTCGGTTCCAAGAATATCAAGTCGTCGGACGCAAGCTCCCGTCCGAAAAGGATGCCAACCCCAAACTCTACCGGATGAGGATTTTTGCGCCGCAACGACGTGGTCGCAAAATCTCGATTCTGGTACTATCTCCGTCAACTACGAAAAGCCAAGAAGGCTTCCGGGGAGATTGTTGGGCTGAACGTAGTATGTTTTCCCACTCAATACTTCGCCGACAACCTGCTCAACAAATTATGTCACGTTATGACC